TAACATTTGATATGGGTGTATTATGAGACAATAGTTTTCAAGGGTTGACGGTCCTCTGATGTCTTTAAGGCAACGCTTACTAGAAAGACTCTAAAAGTACAAAATTATATTGAAACATTAGGAGCGACTCCGCAACTAGTTCTCACTGGAGGCGAAGTGCAATGACACCCTTTCATCATGCCGTCTGCTGTCAGATATTGACGGCTCATCTGCAAGAAAAACTAGAATTGATGAAGTGCTTAATGACTGATATGAGAAAATCCATGGCGTTATTTCAACATCCTTTGAGTACCACCATGCAAGTATCGTCATTTCTGTGAATGGAAGATCATATTTGGACTTCGTCTAAATGGAAGCTTGATCATAGTCGACGGATGGTGTCAATATTAAAGCATAAATGCTACAGTTGTTCGTGTCTTGCTTGCGTTAAGCGATATGTACCAAACGGTCACTCCAAACAAAACCAGTTAGCTACTTTCTGTTCCATGCATTTTTTGTTTGACGACGGATCATTCGCTAAGAAAACTTCCTCAAGACTACTGTAGAATATGAATTTTTTAATCTTCCTTACTGTAGCGTTTCTGCTGCACTACTGTATTAAAATATGCCGTCGCTTGTCCGCGGAGTTCTAGTTTGTTTCGATGCACTTCGAGGTACAATCTCTTTAAACAATGTGCACACACCTAAGGACAAGTAAAAGTTTAATCAGGATAAAGAAGAATTTCAATCATATCGGTTAGTCGCCATGAGCTTACGCAAACCATTTAAATTTTAGATATTATCAATTAATTAACTTACCGAGGCACTGGGGGAGCTTCGTTGTCTTAATGCCCTCTTTCTTCTGGTTCCTTTTTGACGATATTTCCATCTGCCGTGCTAGCATTTGATGCTATCTTAATATGCCGATGGAAAGAACTTGTGTACAGAATGGTAAACAGTTCTTCAAATGTTGTCTTTTTCAAGATTAGTTGTAAAAGTTCTTTTCTTGTGAAACGTCGTTTTGTTGCTACATGCTTACTGACAGGTGAACAGTATAACTGGAGCAAGAGCGTGCACAGTCAATTTAAGCTTTTCCATGCACAAAAACTTTACCACGTCTTAATTCACACTACAAAAAGTAGTCTAAAGTCAATGCTTATGGATATATTAAATCGATGGGTAGGGTATGTAGAATAATATATTGCCAACAATGCTGATTTCGATCAGTCTGTTATGATAAAAAATTGTTTCATACACAAACCTAGTCGTGATGCGCATAATTTATAAATTGATGCCATGTCTCATTTAGTATCTGAAAGTCAGTCGATGTTAAATGCGAAATTTTGCCACGTCATACAACCTGCTTCCGGCAATCGGTGCGCATCTAAACATGTGTCGGTCTCATTCATGTACGAATCGGTCATCATTCGAACAACTCGAAATGCAAAGCATTAATTCATATAGCTGTACCATATATCTAAACTGGAGTCAGATTTCTGAGTTGATACTACTCTCATTTCAAACAAAAGCAAAACCCTCGAACTCACGGTGAATGGTATACCCCTCAGTTTCCTTCAAAATCAATACCTAACGTCCCGCTGGGAAATGGAATTAAAACGACCATGAATGAATCATGAAATCAACTGACCGTAATGGTCAGGCTAGTCATATAGTGAGCCACGGTCACATTATTCACTTTGACCGTGCGAACTTTATTATTCATAAAAATATTTCTTTGTAATCTGGTTCGTTGTACTCGTTCCTCTTTTCACTTGTTCTTGCCACCATCCAGAAAACTACCAATGGAACACTTTTCCGTGTGTGTGTGTGTGTGTGTGTGTGTGTGTGTGTGTGTGTGTGTGTGTGTGTGTGTGTGTGTGTGT